TCCTCTCTCTCTCTCTTCAAATAAATAAAACAAATGTTTTTTAAAAAAATGCAGATTTGGGAGGTAGAGAACTGTTTCTTCTCTCTATTGACAATATCCTTCTGTTGAAGACCTTGCTAAGCCCCAGGCTACCCAAGGGGTGGCTTCTTCTCTGACTGCTCCCTTATTCTTTCCTGCAGTTCTTCTGACTTCTTCCTGGGCCAGGTGCTTGGAGGTTCACAGGTACAGAATTAAGAAGCTGGGACTTGTTTGAAGTTTTTAATTTAATTTAATTTAATTTTTTTCTTCTTTTTTGACAGGCAGAGTGGACAGTGAGAGAGAGAGACAGAGAGAAAGGTCTTCCTTTGCCATTGGTTCACCCTCCAATGGCCGCCGTGGCCGGCGCACTGCACTGATCCGAAGGCAAGAGCCAGGTGCTTCTCCTAGTCTCCCATGGGGTGCAGGGCCCAAGCACTTGGGCCATCCTCCACTGCACTCCCTGGCCACAGCAGAGAGCTGGCCTGGAAGAGGGGCAACCGGGACAGAATCCGGCACCCCAACCAGGACTAGAACCCGGTGTTCCGGTGCCGCAAGGCGCAGGATTAGCCTAGTGAGCCACGGCGCCGGCCCAATTTAATTTAATTTAATTTTTAAAAAGATTTATTTGAAAGGTGGAGTTACAGGGAGAGAGAGGAAGAAAAGGGGAGGGAGGAGAGAGAGAGAGAGAGAGAGAGAGAGAGAGATCTTTCATCTACTGGTTTGAAAGCCAGGAGCCTGGAAACCATCCAGGTTTCCCATGTGGGTGGCAGGGCCATCGTCTGCTGCTTTCCCAAGCATATTAGCAGGGAGCGGGATCGGAAGTGGAGCAGCTGAGACTCAAACCGGTTCTCAAATGGGATGCTGGTACTGCAGGCAGCAGTTTAACTGGCTCCTTTGTTTGAGTTCTTTAAGGGAAGACAGCAAGTTAGTGAGAACAAAGAGCAGGATGTGAGAAGGTCTGAGGCAGCCAGCCCAGACAGCCTGATCTTGTCTCCCTCTTCTCCTCGCTCTCCCCAACCCCAACTATCTGCAGAGCCAGTGTCTTTTTTTTTTTTTTTTACAAATAAAAGATTTATTTTATTTAATTGAAGACAGTTACAGAGAGAGGTAGAGACAGAGAGGTCTTCCATCTGCTGGTTCACTCCCCAGATGGCTGCAATGGCCAGAGCTGCACAGATCTGAAGCCAGGAGCCAGGAGCTTCTTCCAGGTCTCCCATGTGGGTGCAGGGGCCCAAGCACTTGGGCCATCTTCTACTGCTATCCCAGGCCATAGCAGAGAGCTGGATCGGAAGTGGAGCAGCTGGGACTCAAACCAACACCCATATGGTATGCCCAGGGTGTTAACCTGCTGTGCCACAGCACCAGCCCCCCCCTTTTTTTTTTTTTTGAGAGTAGTTCCAGCCGAAGGTTTTGGTGCCCTAATCTCTGTATGGGTAGTCCTTGGCATCTCATGCCCCAGTGGGAGCTCCGTGCCAGGCACAGTGGCTCACCCCCTGAACTGGCCCCAGCAGAGTGGCTGGTGGCAGTCAGCTGGCCAAGGCTTTTGGCAAGGTTGGTGAGGCCCAGGCAAGTCCGGGCACTGCTCTCCAGACAGCTGATGTGGAGCAGCCAGGACTCGAACCAGTGCCCATACGGTATGCCAGTGCTTCAGCCCAGGGTGTTAACCCACTGTGCCACAGCACTGGCCCCAGGGAGAGGTTTTTAACAACAAATAAAGAAATCTAAGTATTTTATGTGGTGTCTATGAGGAACTAAATTAGATGCCCTTCTGTTCCGAATTAAGAGGTTGTAAGTTTGGTGGGTACAAACACTTTCCCTTTAATAAAACTCTCATTAATGGCTCCTGATTTTTTTTTTTTTTTTTTTTTTTGACAGGCAGAGTGGACAGTGAGAGAGAGAGATGGAGAGAAAGGTCTTCCTTTTCTGTTGGTTCACCCCCCCAATGGCCACTGCGGCCAGCGCACCACACTGATCCGAAGCCAGGAGCTTCTCTTGGTCTCCCATGCGGGTGCAGGGCCCAAGCACTTGGGCCATCCTCCACTGCACTCCCAGGCCACAGCAGAGAGCTGGACTGGAAGAGGAGCAACTGGGACAGAATCCGGCACCCCAACCGGGACTAGAACCCGGGTGCCAGCGCCACAGGTCTGCGGAGGATTAGCCTAGTGAGCTGTGGCGCCGGCCGAATGGCTCCTGATTTTTAAGTGCTTTACTCTGTGCCAGGCACAATGCCTGCATTAACTTATTCAACCCAGAGAAGACTAGAGGCTGAGAGATCTTACACTAACTGACTCAACAAGTTTATTTACTGCGTGCTGCGTGTCAAGCATCAGGTTTGCAGGGTGAACAAATTGGGCCTGGTGCCTGCCCTCTGGACTTTATGTCTGATGGGAAAAACTTGAACTTGTACCTAGAAAGTGGTGAAGAAGGGTTGTCATTATCACTGGGGTCCTTGATGAGTTTTGGTTACACAGAATTTTTTTTCATGATACCCTCTCCTCATTGGCTTACACATGGTTTTCACTTGTTTGTCATTTATTTATTTGAGAGACAGACAGAAAGAAAGCCCCATTTGCGGGTTCACAAAATGGAAAGCCTAGGCCAAGCTGAAGCCAGGAGCCAGGAAGCCAGTCCAGGTCTCCCGCTTGAGTAGCGGGAACTTAGCTACTTGGGCCATCACCTATTGCCTCTGAGGGTGTGCATTAGCAGGAAGCTGGTGTCAGGACTCAGAGCCAGGCACTGTGATGTGAGATACCTGGGTGTTAACTGGAGTCTTTTTTTTTTTTTTTTTTTTTTTTTTTTTTGACAGGCAGAATTAGACAGTGAGAGAGAGATAGACAGAGAGAAAGGTCTTCCTTTTTCCGTTGGTTCACCCCCCAAATGGCTGCCATGGCTGGCACGCTGCGCTGATCCGAAGCCAAAAGCCAGGTGCTTCCTCCTGGTCTCCCATGCAGGTGCAGGGCCCAAGGACCTGGACCATCCTCCACTGCTTCCCGGGCCACAGCAGAGAGCTGGACAGGAAGAGGAGCAACCAGGACAGAACCGGTGCCCCGACCAGGAGTAGAACCTAGGGTGCCGGCGCTGCAGGCAGAGGATTAGCCTAGTAAGCCGTGGCGCTGGCCAATTGGAGTCTTAACCACTAGGTTAAGTGCCTGCCCCAATTTATTTATTTTAATAATGATTTTATATAATTTTAAACCATCTATCCAACAGGAAAGCCAGAACCTTGGGCTCCACATAAACCTACGTGTACTGTATATATGTATGTACACATCTCATCCCTTTGCCTCCTTTAACCCAGGGTAAACACCACCCTAAATTGTGTGTTCACCTTTTTTGCATCTTTGTATCTTCTATACGTATTCTAAAAAGTGTATTTTGGGGACTGGCATCGTGGCACAGGAGGTTAAACTGTCACTTGAAATGCTGGCATCCTGTATCAGAGTGTGTGTTCGAGTCCCTGCTGCTCTGCTTCCAATTCAGCTCCCTGCTAATGTGCCTGGGAAAACACTGATGACTCAAGTGTTTGGGCCTCTGCTACCCAAGTGGGAGGCCAGGATGGAGTTCCTGGCTCCTGGCTTTAACCTGGTCCAACCCTGGCTGTTGTAACCATTTGGGAAGTAAACCAGCAGATGGAAGATCTCTCTCTCTCTCTCTCTCTCTCTCTCTCTCTCTTCCTGTCACTCTGCCTTTTAAACAAATAAACTAAATATTTTTAAAGGCATTTTTTATTTTAGCTGTTTCTAGCTTTGTAACATAATTATCAACCTATCTATAGTCTTCTGGAACTTAATTTGCCATTTTGTTGCTAAGATTCATCTGCATTAAGTGTCATTGTAGTGGTCCACCCATGTTGAGGGACGAATATGTGAATATACCACTGCTTATTCATTGAATAAGTGAATAGGTGAACTGGGTGGGGCCACGCTGGGTACCATCCTTATAGATTTTGTCTCCAAGTCTCTGTTCTCCACTGGTGCTTCCAGGAAGAAGCTCGTGGCTTGAATGGCCAGCTGTGACATGGAGACAGTGGAGCCTATTGGTAAGTCTCGTTTGGCCTTCTCTACCACCACATTGCCCCCACCCTTGGTCTCAGGTCCACTGCCAGGCCTGAGCACAAATGGACCTCCTTCCCCAGAGCACCCTGCCCCACGTTTTCCTCTCTCCCTTGGGAAGCACTCCAGCATCCTGATCATGGGTATATGGGAGGGCACTGGAGCCTTGCATTGCTTCAAAGCCCTGACTCAGTTTCCTTCCTTTCACTGCTTCCCGCTTTGACCTTGTGAGTGAGGGGAGGTGAAGCGCTCACCGATTCCGAAGCTTAACTACTTTCCCTTTTCACAGTCCCCAGCTTCTTCCCCCGCCCCGCCCCCATCTGTCTCTGTGGGCTAAAAGGCCAAGCTGAGGGTTTGGAGGGGGAGGTACTGGCATGGGCTGGCGGTGGGGGCCGCGGGCTCAGGGAAAGCCAGACGCAGCAGAACTATTCTGTCCCAGAGCTGCAGGGTCCACAGATTCCAGCCCAGCCTGGCCAATGGGAGATGGCCGTGTAATCCCAGGGAACTAAAGAATTCCCTTGTTATCCAACTTCCCTGCTGAACCCCACTCCTTACCCACTCCCCACCCCCACCCTTGCTCCTGGCAGGCTTAGAGGAGCCTGAGGCCCCCAGCTGCACAGCTCCGTACCCCATGATATGAACTCAGCCCCATGGGCCTTCTGAGGAGAGTGGAGGTGTATCCTAATACAGGTGTTGATCAAGACTGTGAACCCCAACTTTTACACGAATTGGGTAGCGTCTTCCAGGCCCCCTTGCTTGGTCCTTCCCTGGCTCATCCCCCGGGTGAGGAAGGAAGGGGAAATCCAGCAGATTTATCAGATGTGTGCGAGTAGGTCCAGCCCTCCACAGCCATGAAAGGGTTAAAAGGCCTGGCCAGCTATCCCAGCCTGCCCCTCCCAGGGATTAAGAGTCCTCTATAAAGGGGACTGTCCATCCAGACCAGACCAGGGGGGTATCAGGGACCCAGGCACTGTGCCCATCCCCCCTGCCATGTGGGAACTGCGCTCAGCCTCCTTCTGGAGGGCCATATTCGCCGAGTTCTTTGCCACCCTCTTCTATGTCTTTTTTGGGCTGGGCGCCTCACTGCGCTGGGCCCCCGGACCCCTCCATGTCTTACAGGTGGCTTTGGCCTTTGGCTTGGCCCTGGCTACGCTGGTGCAAGCTGTGGGCCACATCAGTGGAGCCCACGTCAACCCAGCAGTCACTTTTGCTTTCCTTGTGGGCTCCCAGATGTCCCTGCTCCGGGCCATCTGCTATATGGCAGCCCAGCTCCTGGGGGCTGTGGCTGGGGCCGCTGTGCTGTACAGTGTTACCCCAGCTGCCGTCCGAGGAAACCTAGCACTCAATACGGTAATGGGTGGCTGAGAGGGGCTGGGGTCCTGGGTTCTCTTGGTGGCCCTGACTCCCTGCCTGAGGCAGGTGAATCAGCTGCTTTGGGTCTGGGACAACGTGTGTGTGTGTGTGTGTGTGTGCCACGCGTGCGTGTGTTTCAGGGTGGGGCGGACCCATAGGTGGTTTGGAGGGGGTGAGGAAGGCACAGAGCCTTGGACTGAGAATGAAGACCCCCAAGTTTGGGTCCCAGCTTTCCGAACTCCTTGCGTGTTCTTGAGGAAACTCATCTCACCTAACCAGGCTTCAGCTCCCTCAGGGAGGAAGTGGGTGTGAATCCAATGACTGTGAAGGGAGTTTATTATCCTTCCTCTCCAGGGGACTGATACCAGGAGGGGGACCCTGTCTGGGAGGCCTGAGGAGCTGACGCCGTGGCAGCCCTAATGAGCTGCCTCCCTTCTTCTTCCTTGCTCAGCTGCATCCTGGGGTGAGCTTGGGCCAGGCTACCACGGTGGAGATCTTCCTGACGCTCCAGTTCGTGCTCTGCATCTTTGCCACATACGACGAGAGGCGGAATGGCCGCCTGGGCTCTGTGGCCCTGGCCGTTGGCTTCTCCCTCACCCTGGGGCACCTCTTTGGGGTAAGCAGGAGCTGCAAGTAACTTCCGATTCAAGGACTTCCAGGCCCCCAAACCTTTCCAGACTTTTTGAACGTTCTTCCTGGCCCCTTTCTCATGGTCAAACACGCATGCACATTGTCGGCCTCTGTCAGCGCAAGAAGACGCAACCCTGCCCGACCTCTCCCCTGTGACTGCTGTGTTTAGTCCTTCTTCACCAAGGTAGAAATGCATGGTCATGGGTGCACTTGGGCTTTGCCTATGGATCCGGAGTCTATGGCCCCGGATGGGGCGTCTGTGCCCTCCCCTGCTGTGGGAATCCCTGGAGAGGTCTGCAGGTTGCCCTTTCCCCCTTGCTGGTGGCTGGAGACAGCATCCAGGGCCCATGTGGGTGGTGGGGAGAGAAGCTGGGGGGGACGGCGGGGGTCTCAGTTATGACTGTGTCTTTTTCAGATGTATTATACTGGCGCAGGCATGAATCCTGCCCGCTCCTTTGCTCCTGCCATTCTTACCCGGAACTTCACCAACCACTGGGTGAGTGAGGGGAGAGGGGCAAGATCCTGGAGCCCTTCTGCATGGGTGCGGACCACAGGTTCCAGGTTTGGGTCCTCCTTGCCAACTGGAGGTGTTGGCTACTGTACCTGCACTCAGCCAAGGAGGCAGAGAGGCTGGCATGCTTGTGTGAGCAGGATTCTTTATTTTGCCAGAAAAGGAGGCTCTTGTGCGTACAAGTATTGTTCCTTCTCTTGTTAGTCAGGGATTTTAACTGAGTATCTGTGGATGTCAAAACTGGGGCCCACAAGAACAGACAACCAAGTGTGAAGACGAAGCCTCCTGCTGTCCGAGAGTAGGATATGCTGTGAGCACAGACAGGCCCCATCCCCACTCTAACACTTTACCAGCCTCATGGGTGACACAGAAAAAAAGAAAAGTTAGAGAAAGTTGCTTTCTTTAACTGCAAAATGGAGTCCTGTGAGAAACAGGTTGAAAGTTCTCTGTGTGAAACATTCAGCACGGCATCTGGTATAGTGTTGAGTTCCCGGCAAGAGTTGATTACATTTATGTTGTTTTGGCCACATGCAAGCCAAACATGAAAATAATTCAAAAGATATTCAGAGCTGTACACTCACATGCATAGTGGAAATATTCCAGCAACGCTAGTGTCACTCAGTGGGCGAAAGGATAAATGAAATACGGTGTGCACGTACAGCATACAGACGTTAACGGGAAGGAAATCTGGGGCAGGCTTTTGACCTAATGGATTACAATGTTGCATGGGACTCCTACATCCCATATCAGAGTGCCTAGATTTGAGCCCTAGCTTCACTGCTAATGCGGACCCTTGAAGGCAGCAGTGATGGCTCAAGCAATTGGGTCCCTGGCACCCATGAGGGAGGTCTGGGGTGAGTTCCTGGCTCCCAGCTGTAGTCCTGTCCAGCCCTAGCTGTCACAGGCTCTCGAGGAATGAACCAGTGAATGGAGGTTCTGTCTATCTCCATTTGTCTTCATTTCTCTGCCTCTCAGATAAATAAATAAATTTTTAAAAGGAAGAGAATTCTGACACACATTACTACATGAATGAACCTTGGGGACATTATGTTAGGTGAAATAAGACAGTCATAAAAAGACAAGTACCATATGCTTCCACTTAGATGACGTACTTAGAGTACTCAAATTCATAGAACAAAGGCTGGGATGAGACAGTTGCTTCCTGGGTGTAGAGCTTCAATTCTGCAGGATGAAGAAGTCCCGGAAATGGGTGGTACAGCAGTGTAAGTAGACTTTACACTGCTAAATCATACATTTGGAGATGGTTAAAATGATTAAGTTTTATGTTAAGTGTATTTACCACAATTTACAATTTTTTGAAAGAAATAAGCTAGTATAAATTGAAAACAATAAATAGAATATCCATGCACAAAGAAGGTGTGGGATAAAATAATTCACTGAACCAAAAAAGAAATGGTGAGTTTGGAAGTACAGGCAGTAGACCTTGGAGCTTATCAAAACAAACACTGATCTCTACTTAGACAATGCCCTGTTGTGTGAATCAGGTGCAGAGCTGGGGGGGGGGGGGGGGCTGCCGCTCAGTGCTGCCGAGCTGAGTATTCCTGTTCTCTTCCTACAGGTGTACTGGGTGGGCCCAATCATTGGAGGGGGTCTGGCCAGCCTCCTCTACGACTTTCTCCTCTTCCCCCGGCTCAAGAGTGTTTCTGAGAGACTGTCTATCCTCAAGGGTGCCAGGCCCAGTGACTCCAATGGACAACCGGAGGGCACAGGGGAGCCTGTTGAACTGAAGACCCAGGCCCTGTAAAAGTTCCAGCTGCAGAGAGGGAGTAGAGAGCTGCTGGGTTTATGTGGAGGGGCTGAGCCCACCTTTAGATGAAGAAAGAGACTGTGGGAAGGGGCATGTACTTCTTTATTTTTTAACTTATGTGTGTGTTTTTTTTTCCCCTTTTGCTGTGTGAAATCTTTCAAGTTGCATTCATGAGCTGGTTGGTGCAAACTTCCCTTCCTCCCCATCTCACCTCCCTTCGCCGTGTGTGCAGGAACACGACTGTGCGTATGAATGTGGGTGCGTGTGGTTGTGTCTGAGTTTCGGGGCATGAGAGTCAGGGAAGGGAAAAGTGTCCCCCCACAGTCCAGTGTGGTGAGCACCTGATTTCTGGGGGAGCAGGGAAGCACGGAGCTGCTCCTCTCAAGAGGCAGATGGAGAGAAGAGGAGGAAACGACGCCTTCCAAGGGTTGGGAGAAGGAGCTCTCCAGGGTTGTGGGGGAGACAGGAAATGGAGGAATCAGCCCCAGACCAGGATGCAAGTGTACCAAAAATTTTAGGGAAGTAAACAAGAGTATACAGCCTGCTAACCTCAGGGATGCTTGCCCAGGGACTTGGGTGCGGAAGTAACTCTGAGAAAAGTGAACGCTGGGATTTGAGCTGTTCTGTAAAGCCACATAAACCTGTCTACATCCACTGGCTGGGCTGTGTGTTCATTCTGGCACAAAGGATCTCTTCGGAGACCCTGGGCCAGGGAGCTCCCAACCTGAAGTGCCGGCGAGCCTAGACTCTAGAAAATTAGGCAACTGGACTCTTGGCCTCATATCCGCTGTTGTGGCCTTCCGGAAGATGGCACAGAATTGCTCCCTAAGGCCAATATAGGGAAATCTGACGCCTGGAGCAAACAGACGGGGAGGAGACTGGAGGGACGGGAGGCAAGGGCTTTGAGCCTCAGAGTTTTATTTAGAGCAAATCAAAACACTCTTCAAACGGCATCTTGTATCCCTAGCTCCACGGTCTTCCTTTTCGTATGTGTGTCTTTTCACTTTTTTCTCACGTGCTTTCTTCTCCAACCTCTTCTAACTTTCCCTCATACCCCAGAAATGGGTTCCTTGCATTCCGATGCTTAGTAACTCCGTAGGTCATTAGTCCCATCTTCCTTTTGTTTTTGGAAATACACTCATCTCAGCAGAGGCGGGAGGAGACCCTCAACTAAACAACGGATATTCATCGTTGATCTCTTGCTTTCGTGAGCCTCCTACACACTTCACAATCTTTAATGAGCCGATAGTACGACAGATCCCATTCACCAAACGACCACTCCTCCCGACTACCTCCGCTGTCCACTTTCTCCCAAATACAACCGAACTTTTCTAACTAACCACGTAACACGTCGGAACAGTCCACTTGACCGGAAGGGGAAGAACGTTCGCAAATTCACCCTTAGTCGGACTTTTGATTCCTATCACAATCCAGAAGAACATTGAAAGCGCAGTAATCTTTAGTTCATTGTGGGAGACCGACTCACAAGAGCAGGCCGACTACTCGCTTCCCTCTTCTTCATTTCATCACCAACTCCACAACCCCCCGCGTCCGGAGCCACGTAGACCGGCCCGGGTCACCCCGCCCAGCTCCGAAAGCAGGCGGGGACTGGTCGGCTGTGCCGGGTGGCGGGAAATGCTGCAGCCCGCTGCTTGAGGGCGGCAGGCTCCTCGGGCCTCCGAAGACCCGCAGGGAGGGGGTGAGTGAGTGTGGCGAGGGGGCTCTAGGCGGACACTGACCCCTTCGAAGCCGCAGGGGTATCGCGGGGAGCTGCGGACTCCCCTTTCCCGCTACGGGGTTTGAAGGCAGGGGGCGGTGCGCGGCTCTGGGTGCGCAGGCGCAGTGCCTGCCTCTCCCGCGCGCCGCAGCTGTTTCCGGTGGCTTTCGACACCGTTTGAGCTTGGCGCTGGGCTGGGACCGGAAGGGGCTTGGAAACCCGGAAGTGGAGCAGAAGGTTCCCGGGGATTCGCACTTAAGGACTCCCCGTCCGATTGACACCCTAAAAAAAAAAAAAAAAAGCTGGCTTGCGGCGTGGTGGACATCAGGGGTCAGAATTCACAGGCCGCTTGACTTAGGTCTTGGGTTTTTATGGAAGGGATTCCTCCCTTCCCTTGGGTTTAAAGTTTAAGGACGACTCAGCATCTTGTTTGGAATTGTCAGCGGGAACCACCAGCCATAATTCAGCTCCTTCTCTTGAGGCTCTGGATTCGTTATTGCCACTAGTATTCTATAGAAAGTCAATAGGCTTGTTCATGTTAAATTTAAAATTCATCTTTGGCCACTTAAAGTCCACCTTAAATCCTCAGGTACTGACTGTCGCCTGTCACCTGCCCTTTTTGCTCAGCATAATTTTCTGAGGCTCCCAATCTTTTTTTTTAGTTTTTGATATGCACTTGACCTCCGGACACAGGGAAATGGTATGTCTGCGTTGTGGTTGTTCGTACCTCTGCCTCTATTCCTGCCGCACCCTCTCCTTGGGAGTTCATTTCCCTGTCAGATGAACTTGTCTGGGGACTGAGCTCAGTTACCCTCTGAAAGCCAGTTTACCCCGCCCTCCCAGGCTAGTAGTCACGTCTCCGGTGCTGTCTGTTACCACTGGCCCTGTGAACTCTGGAAATTTACTGAGTTCCTGACTGCTCAGCACCAGGTGTACATAGATGAGCCGGACAGAGTTTTTCCTCTTGAGCAAGTCCCTTTGGGATAGGAAAAACAGGTGCCGGTGGGTCCTATGAGTTTACAATGGTGGGGTGACAAAGAAGCCCTCCCTGACTCCTTCCCTGGTCTCAGTCCACGCTCCCTCACACGTCCTGACCCCTCCTCCCTCAACTGTAGGCCTGTCTGTTTTAGTTCAGTTTAGTAAAACATTTACTGTCACCTGCTCTTATGCCGCTTATGAGGGTTCCTGATCCCCAGGAGTTTTCGTTCTAGTGCTGTTGACAGAGGATTGAGATAGGATCACCTAAGAAATGTTTTCAAAATTCTGATCCAAGCCTCGCCCCCTAGAAATTTTGATCAGTAACCAGGCTGTGCAAATTCAAAGGTGGATAAGAACCAAGTCCTATCCACAGGGAATCTGAGGCTAATGGAGCGAGACAGACGTTTAAATGTTTTTAACTATCAGGTATAAATGAGACGTAAGTACCATGATGGAAGTCTGGGTAGGGCACAAAGGAGAAGTCAGGAGGAAGTGCCATTTGGGCAGAGTCTCACGATAAGAGGTTGACAGACTCCAGGTCGGTGGGAGAAGGACATTCTGGGCAGTGGAGTGGCTTGAGCAGGAAGCTTGGAAGGTAACCAGCAGGCAGACGGTGGAGAACATGGTATTGTCAGCTTTGGTGGGGAGGGGGTATCACTAAAACTTTAGTTTTGTATAGTAGTGTATGCTAATGGTAAAAACAGTTCAAATACAGTAGTACCAGACTGAAAGGTAAATATTTCTTCTACGCTATAGCCTTCAGTTTTCCCCATGGACGATCACTATGAAGTTTCTTATGTGCCCATAGAAAAGTTTTAAGTAGGGTAGTTATATGGCCAAATGAGGTAGCCATATTGTGGCTAGATTTAAGGGAACAGGATGAGAGGCAGGGAAGGAGGTTAGAAAACGGTGAGTAATCTAAGCAGGAGATCCTGGGGATCTGAACTAAGGCAGCAGCAATGGGTCTGGATAGGGGCCACATAGAGGAGCTTAAGGAAGCTAAGAGCGCAGGAACTTTCCTAAAAGGTGACTCCTGGGTTTCTTCTAATGTTAACAGCAAAGGGGATATTGTAGTCCTGCAGAGATCCCAGACAGAAGTGCAGACAGACTTGTGGGGAAGATGCGTTCAATTTTGGACATGTTGAGTGTGAGGCGTCTTGGAGACTTAAAGATGAAGAATGCTCTTCATTGGTTGCTTTAACATATGGGATGTTCGAGGGACCCGACATACAGGCTTGCTGACTACGGAGCTCACATGGTAGTTAAAGTGTGAAAAAGGATGAATTTGCCTAAGAAACCTGGATAGAGTGAGATGGGAAAAAGACTAAAAATGCAGGTCTATGGAACATTAGCACTTAGGGGGAGAGGAGGAACAGCCAATACAGAACCAAGGGAAGGTGTTTTGTTTTTTGTTTTTTTTTTTTGTTTTTTGGTTTTTTTAAGATTTATTTATTTGAAAGAGTTACGGGGTTGGGGGGGTGGGTAGATGGAACAAGATAAAGACCTTCCTTCCACTGGTTCACTCCCAGGGCCAGGGTTGGGCCAGGCCAAAGTCAGGAGTCAAGAGCTTCATCTCCGTCTCCCAGTGTGGTTGCAGGGGCCCAAGAACTTGGATCTTGTGCTGCTGCTTTTCCCAGGACATGAACCAGTGCCCATTTGGGATGCCAGTGTCACAGTGGCTTTACTCATTATGCCATATGCCAACCTCTCTCTCTCTCTCTTTCTTTCTTTTTTTTCCCTAAGATCTATTTAGTTAGTTGTCAGGCAGAGCATCAGAAAGAAAGGGAGAGAGCCAGGAATGCCATCTTGATCTCCTATATGGGTGGCAGGAACCCAAGTACTTGGGCCATTTTCTTCTGCTTTACCAAGCATATTAGCAGGAAGCTGGATTGGAAGCAGAGCAGCCAGGACTCAGACCAGCCCTTCAGTTAAGTGGTGGCTTGACCTGCTGTGTCACAACACCAGCCCCAGGTTTCGTTATATGTTGGATTTCTACCCGCCCCCCACCCCCAAATGAGAAAGCTTTGAACAACTTATAATGTATACAGAAGGGGCCAGTACAGATAAGTGGGAAATGAGGAACAATCAACGTAGGTTCCAGAAACTACTGATCAAGATCACAAAAATGAATGGCTTAGATTAAAAGCAAAGAGGTAAAGGTGGGTGAAGTATGTGTGTTTTCAGTCTTGGGTGGAGGCAATTGAGAGTTCATGTCTGGTGACCTCAAGTGTTCCCAAGAGCAAAGAGGCTGAGATACCAGCTGAGAGGCAGAGGAAGCAGTGGAGTATAGGGACTTGAGGACAATGGTACAAGTCAGAAATAGCTGTTCCTTGGGAAAGAGAAGAGGGAGCACCAGGAATACTAAAAAGATAGGCTTCACCCAAGCTGAGAGGCCCTGCTCAGGTTGGAGACTATACATCTGTGGCCTGTCATTATACAGTTATTGTTTTTATGTAGCAAATCTGAATTTAGATTTGAGTTGCAGCATTTAGGAAGCAGATGGTTGGATTGATCTGAGGTTGTGGTCTCTTGGAGGGTGAGTGTGGTGAGAGGAAAAGAGATGGAGGCTGTGTGAGAGTGGCTAAGCTGATGTGTGGTGATACCATAGAGGGTAGGTGCAGCCCGGTTTGAACATTTTGTTTTCCAGCTCAGACATTTTCAGTAGCTCCTTGGTTTATCTTCTAAGTCTTGGAATTGATGAACAGAGTTTTCCCATAAAGCTGCTTCCAATTCCTTTCCCATTGCTTTACTGTTGAACTCCTCTGTTGAGAGTGGCTCCCTCCTCTCTGCCTTTGCTCTGGTGCTTCTTGTCTAAATGCCCATCCTCTTCCCATCTGCCTGAGCCCTGTGCAACCTTCAGAGGCTTCTGGTAAAACCACTTTGGCCACTTGAAAACAGCCTTAATTTTTTCAAAGTGCTCCCCCTTATCACCCATTTAGAGCGGCACTGCCTTGTCTTT